CATGAGCTTCCGCAAGCCCTTCCACGAAGGGCTTGCTTCCCCGGACCTTCCAGGTCCTTCCGCGCACACGGGAAAACCTCGTGTTCGGACCAAGATTTGATGAGTTTCTGTGTGGCGCGCTTATAATTGATCTACCGAAAAAGATCGCTGCTCACCTGTCTCTCCGGAGTATTCTGCGATTGTTGCACTGTAGTGAGTCAGTGCCTCGTGGGCGTTCGGGCTGTGCGCACGATGTAATATCAGCTGGTGCTCCATGCGTGGTGTCTTAGGAAAGGCCATCGCTGATCCCTTGTTAGTGCTCCATGCGCGGTCTCTGTAAGCCCTCAACGCGCAGTGTCATCGGAGAAGCCATTGCTCCGGCCTGGCTTGCAGCAAGCCCTGCGGGAGCTTTGCGCGGTGTGTCTCTAGATGGCCACTGCTCCGGCTTGCCATCAGCGGATACACAGTCTTTGCCACTTGCAGGTAGCTTGGTTTTTTCATCCCTTCAAGAGGTGTGTGGTATTGACGCTATGGCTGCTTGCCTACACGAACAAGCTCCACACACACACGGTATTCCATGTTGGAAAGTAAATGGGTTTCCTATTGTAGGGCTGATTAAGGGGGACAAAAAGGTCTAGGCTATAGCCAATGTTGGGCCCTTTTGGGGATTGACTTGCTTGTGGTGTGGTAAATTCATGCTTTTTGTCTGGATACCCATGAAGCCACAAATCCTGAATCTTCAGAACTGCACTGTCAGTGTGGGTTTGCTTGATGAAGACAGAATGTCACGCCTGGAACGTCTTGAACCAGAACTCCCGAAAGTCCTCAAGCACGGATCCTGCAAACATGCAAAGTGCAGGATATCACGATGATCGAACATTCAGCACACAGCAGGACCCTGACCGGCCTCTGTCGTTGGCATAGAAGTCCAGCTCGTTAAAGTCGCCATCCACGAGCATCGCAGCAAGCGCTCCGTTATCCAAAACATTAAAACGTGCCGTGGCTGCGGCTTCGGTACCGAAGACTTCGCTCTGTACGTTGTTGGAAGTGATGTGGGTCAGGACGAGTAAGTCTGAACCTCTGGGTGTGCGTGTAGTATCTATACAACGTATTGATACTACAGCGCGAGAAGTACGCTCTGCAATTATTAATTGACTAGTGACTAGTACGAAAGTATGCGCAAGAAGCCGACAGCACATCCTGTCCAAGGAAGATGTATCCGCGGGAGACCATTGCAAATGGAGGCACCAAAATGGGAGCCCAGGTTTCCGGGAACCGCCACGTGCTGTGGAAAAAGATTCCAGCATTTCTTGCTAGATCTCGACATTGAAAACCAAGGGGAGTAATAACCCTATCACTGGACAGCATGGTTTTGAAAACCTAGAAGGCAGAATCCCCAATACAGTAATCTGTGCAGTACTGGACAAGTTCAAACCTTCAAGTCAAGGGGAATTTACTTTCTACATCTCCTGGGAAAGCAGACCATATGAGCTACAGTGTAAACTCCTACCATCCCCCTTAGTATCCCCTATAATACTCCCCTATGTGAGCCCTTGTAAGGAGTTTAGACTATAGCTCATATAGTATACCGAAAGGTTGCGAGCCCTGCCTCGCAAAACGCGACCACGTCCGTCATCAATTGGTCCTCTCAATCAGGGCCCGTTGACGAAGATTTGTTTGACCCATCCGTCGCACCCCAAACGCTGAACACTAAACCCTCAACCCTAAACCCTAAACCTAAACCCCAAAACATCCCCAAACCGTAAGTTGGGTAGAGATCCCAAGCACTCAGCACCTTACACTGCTACTTCCGCAAACATCTCTTCAACCTCTGCGCCACTCTGTGGTTTAGGCTTTAGGGTTCATGGAAAAAGTAGAATATAGAAGTTTTCTGCTCCATCAGCAACGCGGAAAAGACATGTCACTAGGTTTCTCTTCTACTGTATCCGGACTTCATCTCGCTGCGGCTGTGCTCTTTACTCTGTTGATGGCAGCATGGCCCCAACGCAAGGATGATATGCAAAACAAAAGAAGTATAGCAGACATACGTGGAGATCAGATGAAAGGCCTTTGGGGGACACGCTGGGCGTTCAGGGACCCTATGTGCGAGACCCCAAACCTGATTATAGACCGCGCTTCGGATGTAGAGCTCAGCCCAGTGTCTTTCTTGATCAGTGTGTGTGTGGGGGGGGTTCGGGGCAACCTTTTTTAGGGTTGTTCGCCTAAACCTTCAACCCAAGCCAATCCTGAAGCCTAAGCCCCAAGCTCGAGACCAACCCTAAACCCTGAGCCTCAAACTATCCCTACACCCTATGCTACTGGAATTGCAAGGCCTCCGAGTTCTTGTTTCTAAAGGTCTGGATGCCTGGTTCGCGGAGCCTAGGCTACGGGCATCAAGCGTGGATGTATTTTAATTGTTTAGGACTTGAGGTCATTGAAGCCTGGGTTTAAAATATCCATGGATAATTCTCTCTAGGCTAATCCACTTATGGGCCAAGACAAAGCGTTGCGCGAAGACTTACGACAGTTCGCAGACCCAAAGACAGTCTAGTCCTTACCAGAAGCGACTCCCAACACCCAAGCACTAGCAATGAAACACAACGCAACAATACCGATAGATGGTCAAATTGGACCAGGGAATTAATACAAAGCGTATGAAACGGGGTGGGATCTTCAATCTGAAGAGGAAAGGACTCAATGTTTTTTCCATCTGCCGGAATATTCCAGTGAGTATGCTCGGTTGGGAAAGGATTCAGGATTTGGGGTCTAGGGTTTTTTGGATATCTTATCGTTTGGCACGGTTTCCATGTTCCCGACGCATCCAAGGAACGGAGCGTTGCAGCCAATCACGCGGAAATTAGCGCTCAACGTCCGATCGACCATCCACGCAGCTGCCCCAACGCCCTGGCTCTTGAGCAGTCAACATAATAGCATCTACGACAGTATGTTGCAATATATGAATATCAACGATAGTCAAATAGAATATGCTACAAGAACATACAATGACCGCCAACATATACTACAGTGGGCCATAGTCGAACATACCCACCCTGAAGTTCCACATGCTCTGGGCTGAAGCTCTGGTTTCCTCATGGAAGAGGTGGTCCCTGTGATCCTTCAGCTGCTGGTGGTAGGCCTTCGCGGTAGGGATTTGGGTTCGGGATTGGGGATTTGGGCTCAGGGTTTTGGGCTCAAGCCTTTCGGAGCCCGTCGACGATAGTGAGGTGCAGGTTCATCATCGATAGGAGTGTAGTCACCTGGGATTCTGTTGGATGGCCGCAGTAGCAGTTGGCCCTTATAACTAAACCCATATGAATGTATCTTTCTATAGCTCTAGCGTACGAGAGGAAAGCATAACAGAAAGCATAACATTATACTGTCTTGCCCTGGAAGTGTTTAACACTACGCGTAGCGCTTAACAGACCAAGAGCATCTCAAGTTTTGCCCGCTTTCAACCAGGAAGCAACGTTTGGACGGTTGATGTACTGCTGGCAGTGGGAACTCCCCCAAAAGCGCCGCTTGCCCGTCTCACTGCGTATGCAAGGGAGGAAAAGCTTCCTCGGGAGATGGGCCATGTCCCTCTCCAAGGACAGCAAGTAGCCTGCCGCAGCATCTGGAGATAGGCTGTTCGCAAGAACACCCACCTTTGATATGTCCGTGGCAATTTTCCTCCACTCGAAGGCAACATCTTCCAAGCGCCCTTCTTCAACTTGCGCACTGGTATCTTCCACCAGGCCCGCAATCAACTTTTTCACCTCGCCCATAATGCGTGCCTCCAACTTGCGCAGCCTGAGAACATCCCCATGTCTTGAGCTAAATAATCGGTTCTCTCTGCGACCACGTGCCTGCCCTAGCATGTTCCAAACCCCACGCAGCTCTCCTTGCACGTAGACCTTCATACCCAGTTCATCAACCGGTCCCGACTCCCTCGGTTGCTTCAAGCTTACACAAGGTCACTACATGAAGCATTCACAGTTTGGCTGCCACACTCCACCGACCAGGCCACAATAGTAGCGGTAAGTAGGAATCCGAGTCATATGCCAAGCTGCTCTTCGCCGATGCCGAAATAGTCCATAAAGGTCTGCGCCACTGTTCCTAGAACCCAAAAATTAGCTCCAAGGTGGCCCTCAGTCATCAACCCATGGAATGTTTCGAGGAAGTACAAAGGTATGTCAATGAGGCTATCATCATCTTCCTCGGGATCACCGTAAACGTCAATGCCAAAGCCCAGGCTAAGCAGGTCGTTGCCCAAGGTTCCAGCAACGTAGATTGCTGCCTCTGCAGCGGCCGCTTGCACCTCTTCCTCATCCACGACGCCCTCGCCATTGTCCTCCTCTTCGTCAACAAAGTTTTGGCTTGATCGTCTCTTGCCCTTCCGTGTTTTCTGGGCCAACCTCCGGGCTTGCACTCGTCCCTCAACGCCAGGAACTGCGGTCGAGGTCACAGGGGCAGTGCTGTTGCCGCGAAGGGCCCTTGGTGCTGTTGCGCTGCCTTTGTCGGCATTGAACAATTCAAAAAGCTGAGAGCACACAGACTGGATGAGCAGGGCAACCACCAAAGCGCGCATGCTGCCACAAGGCTGACAAGGGACCCGCCAATGCCAACTCGGCCAATTTGAGCGGAGATGCTGCAGGTCGCCTCTCCACACACCGTTCAAACTCTGAACCCGCTTGCAAGCGGCCCCAACGGCACATGCAACGCTTGCTCACTAGGCATCTTCTGCACAATCTTTATCAGCTGTTCAGCGTCAAACAAGCTGCATGCTGACATGCCAATGTCCAACTCATCTTGGAAAAGACGCTGGTGAATCTCCCCTCACGCTCGGTGCATTAATTTGCGGCTGCTGTGTCCGTGTGTAGACATTTATGGGAATGTCTCCAAGTAGGCTCTACGTCATCCCTTACGGCAAACGTCATAATGCAAAAACAACATTTATAAAAACTCATACCGACCATGTCGAAACTTACAGGCACTCTTCTTCTCATTGCAGCAGCCCTCCCGCCATCGTACCAGACACATGCCACGCGGCGCATGCCTACGTCAGGAAGATCAGCAAACGCAGTATGCTTGAGTTGTACAGAAATGAAACACAACTTTGCAATAACCACTGCAGCCATTCATCTTTGGTTGGAGGCTAGGCTAGACTGCTCGCAGGGGGTATCAACACGCTTGCGACCTGCTCAGCTTTCCACACCCATCCACAAGCTCTTACAAAGAGCGCCCTTCAAAACTATTGCTTGCATTCCAAGCTGAACCAACGCTTGCCAGGCAGCAAACTGCATGGTACCCAACGGCGTCATGTAGCCGTAAAGGAAAATGGAAGTATGGTTGTTGTGCTTGTTGCAGGATCTAAGGTAGGAGGGAAAGACTTGATAAGCGCGTTCTGTGTGGTTGCACCGCTCCTGTCCGAGACCTACCACAACAAGCTGCAGAGCAACCCTTCACTTTTTCTTGGGTTGCTGTGAGTCTAGCTTAAAGGAGGGCTTGAAGGCTGCAGGGCTTCAAGCCCATCTGTCCTTGGGCACCCCCTGTGAGAGCGGTAAAAACCAGAGTACTTCTGGGCTAGACACGGGTGCCCAGGCTGTGTGACACTAAAGTAAAAACCAGACTCAGCGTGTCTGGGCTAACCTGAATAGGCTAAGCTTAGAGTCTGCCATTGGACTGCTGTCCTGAGGGCACCGCCCTGGCGACGGCTTCTTTGAGGCCTGCGGGCCTGGTAGCCAGCGAGCTACTGATTGAGCAAGTCTAACCAGGCTGAGGCGACAGCTGAGGGGATGTGCGCAGTGTTAATCGTATTGTATTGGGATTATCCAAATTCACCATCACAAATATTATTCAATCTCATCGATTCGAATAATCATGATATAAATTCGTAATCAAAGCAATCAATCACTCGGTCACAAGCTTTTTAGCTTCCGTGGAGAATGGGGCTTCGCCACGAATGGCACCACGGTTTGGTGTACTACATCCTGGCTGGGAGTGTCAAGAAAGTGGGCGCCAGAAGGCACAGTTCCAGGCACCCACACGAAGGTGGTTGAGCATGAGCACACACACGACGGCGCAGCCCAGTACTCAAGCTGATGCCTTCCCCACCCTCCCCACCCTTCACTTTGGAGCGGGCGCGCGGGTGAAAAGTTTGTTGATGTTGCTTGCAACTGCCATTGTCACACTCATGTTGCATGCGCATACTTATGACAACTGCAACCTACCATGCAACAACAACAACGCTAACTCAGTCAGTCAGTCAGTCAGTCAGTCAGTCAGATGGGTGTTTACTTAGCTGCCTCTCCATGACGACCAAAAAACACGGCACCGCATCAAGTGAACCAAACAGCCCACCCTCCGTTCCTCAACCATCTCGAAGGAACCATGGCACAAGCATTACAAATTAAGTATCAAGGTTAAGGGGCCGGGGGGTACTGCGTAATGACTCCAATCAAGAAAAAGAGCGAGCGTGCTTCGTGGCTTACAGCTTCCAGGTAACATCTCCCATCTAAGTACCACAAACAACGACTCCGCTCTTACAGCTCCCGTGAAACGAAACGGTGAAACAACGTGTTGTCTGGCCGTTCAGCGGCCCCCCTTCGGGGGGACTTCGTCCCCTACCCCCATTCCCCTCCCCCCTACCACGACCACTCTTAGAAGAAGTAGACCCATTCCTTTACCTGATTCTTGAAGATTCATGCCAAGTCTCCGCTGTTTTCGCTCAATTTCCTCAGGTATCTTGTCCAGGTACAAGTTAAAAGCAAACTTACCTTGCTCTCTCACCTTTTGACCGCCTGGTAGATATACGCCCCCAACGTTCCCTGTAAACATTTCAGGACACAGAACGACCCTTCCCTAAACTCAAGCCGGACCATGAAGTGATCCTTCCTGGGTAACAGGGCCACGTGTCTTCCGTGCCTTGTTCGAAAGTACGAAACGCACACAGGAAAGCAAGGTCGAGAACTCATACCATGAGATGAGTGCTTCTAAATCGATCTTGGAGTTCTTATCAGATCGGGGATGGAAGGTCTCCGGTGGGATTTGAGGGGATGGATGTGGGCAGACCTGTAAGCACGTTCAGTTCAAGTATGGCCATTGCCGTTCCTTGGGCCAACCTTCTAAACTCTCTCAACGCCTCCAGTTCTTAATTTCACTCTTTCTTTTTTTCGGTCCGACATGTCTCTCCCCCCGACTGCTTGTGTTTGAGCTCAAAATGGCTGCGACAACAAAATTCCACCAGATGTGTCCTGGCTGAAAACAACTCTACCCGATAACACCACTAAAAACGACCGACTGTCCGTACCCCCCAAACTCCCCACCTACGCAAAAAAACCCAACATCCGCCCCCCCACCCGGTCCCCCAACAGCACCACCACAGTGCACCAGAGAACCTACGGAATCAGTACATGACGGCCGTAGGTTGCACCTTGGCGAAAGTCTACCTGGAACATGCCCGGCGCCACCTCCAACCCACCTGTGATTTTTCCAGGCCTGAACAGACCCTTACACCTTTCCACAACGATGACGTGTGCTGTTCGCCGCTTCCTCGTGCCTCTCTAGGTTAGAAAGTATGCATTTCACACTTCTTGCACTCAGCGACCGATGCTTTGGAAGATTCTCGAAGCCGCTCCGGCGCAATTCCGGCTCCGCGAAATCATCTATGACCACTAACACCTGGTAGACCTGGTGATCTTCTTTTGCTGCTCGATGATGGTCCGGAGCGCCCCCTCGTCCCACTTGTGGAAGTAGACCTGCTCCCTTCGGTGTTGACGCCCATCTCGTTCTCTATGAACTGCTTGACGGGCTTTCAGCCGTCGTCGATCTCAATGCTCGGCAAAAAAAATAAATATTCTTTCAAACACGCTGGAACCGTCCGCTATGCGATACTGTTTCAGGATCGCGCTGATGATTGCGACCGTCTTTCCGCTCGTACTCGGCCTCAGGAACATGTCCGTGCTGCGGGAGCTGGCCAAGAGCTGGAATGAGATGTTACGGACCCTGCGAGGCGCTGGTTAGCAGGGCCCCTACTCGGACCTTGTCGTTGATGTACTGTGGATTGAGAGAATGACCAGTACATTTTCTTGCTCAGCTCCATGATAATTTGGTTGCTTTGGCCGTCATGAAACGGCAGCCCGCCAGGCTCTTGCGCGACGTTCTGCTTGATGCGGGCTAGGATCTCTTGCTGCGACAGAGCGTCGTTCAGGCGCGTCTGCCGTCCCAGCGTGGTGCGACTGGCAGCATGTCGGTTCTCTGGCAGCGCTGGCCGCGTTTC